GATGAGCTGTGTTAATCTTTGTGCTGACATAGCAGGATCACTCAGAGAGGAGATGAATCTCGTGAAGTGAGTCAGTGCTGGCCTTTCAGATGTTTACCTGAAATGATCACCTATTCTCCCTGGCTGCTGTGCTCTTCTCTTTCCTGTCTGTAATAGGAGCATTGCCTGACACAGGAGCATGACTGCCTTTGATGTGGCAATTTTCGGTTGTTCTGAAGTTGGTTGTCAACCTGCTGAAGGAACGGCAATGCCTTTACACTTTAATTTGTGGAAAACAGTTATATATTCCACTGTGGAGTATATGCAAAGTGCTTTGCCAGTTTAGAATTGGCAAGATCTGGAGGAGGGTTTAATGAACTAAAGTAATTTTCCTTCATAGTAAAATTTTATGGGCGTGAAAAATTGTTACGCCACCAAATACTCTGAAGAGCTTCTGAGCATTTTTATAATTTATTGGCTTAGAGATTCCTAATAATTGTCTGAACAATAGGGATTTCTTCAGGGATGTATTTTCAAGATGGAATGAAATCTGGGCTACAGTTTCTGGTTATATTTTTTCTGCTTTCATGCCAGCCAAGTTGTGTCAAGACTTAAGGCTGCTGGCTTGGGCAGTCTTGGAGACTTGTTGATCTTATTTTAGAGAAGCAGTTCATCATATTGTATCTGGATTTAGTGGTTCAGTATACTATACAGTGTGATGGTGGACTTTCTCAGTGCCGGAGACTCTTAATCTGTATTGTAGTATAAGCCATTGAAGATAAGTAATTGACAAGGATTGGCATTTTTGTCATGCAAGCTTTATAGCAGAGTATTCAGCAGATGATGTAGTTTGTGCAAAACAAAAACGTACAGACTGTGGAGAGGCATGTGTATAAAATAAAGCGTATAAGGAAATTCTTGCAGAACTGGAACATCACTTGTTTCCAAAGAAAATGTGTTTTTTTTCTGATTATCCTTTCTCCATTCCCACTTCTGTCTAGAAAACCAAAATAGTTTATTGAATTATTCAGGTCATTTAGTTTTGTGTAAGCTCAGCTTCAAATTGCATTTTCCAGAGGGTTTGTATTGCCTTAAGGGAGTTGTAATTCAGCCTGACCTATTTCCTCACTTTGTCCTGCAAGCTGGTTTTCCCTTTTTTCATTCTCAACTGGCTGAACTGCTTGGTGCCCCAAGGGACACCTGCCCCTGGGGTGTCCTGGGAAGTGCTGTGTGGCTGTGTGGAGCCTGGCCCATAGGAGACAGGGAGAAACTTCACATCTGAGCATTGTTCCCTGGAGTAAGCAGTATGACCCAGAGAAAAACACAGTTCAGTATTGAGCTGACTTGAAATTAATTTTAGGGAGATTGGTTTGATGAGCAGAAACAGTTTAATTTGGCCCTATAAGGGTGTTTTCCTTATTTTGATTAAAGAATGCCTAAATGTAAGTTTTTGCTGTTTCTTAATCAATATCACTTGGTATTTTTTTCGTTTTTTTGTTTTCATCTTAATTTAGGTTGAAGAGTGGGCATTTTTCTATGGGGTGGCAATTCTAGATTTCCCTCAGTTCAGAGGAGTAAAATGTTGGGTTTTTTTTGTTTTGAAATAGTATATTAAATGTGAAATCTCAATTTTCAATTGAATTCAGCTTTTAAAATGAAAACCGTCAAGATTTTCATGCAAAATTACTCTGGCACAGAAAAGCCATGGTTATTTGTTAGTGTGGAGAAAGACAAGCTAAGCTTCTTCAACTACAAAGTAGAAATCAGAATCAAATGTCTCAGCTTGAATCAATGAGGGTGTTTTTTTTTGTTTGCTTGTTTTTCTCCTGTCAGAATTCAGTTTTGGAAAATATGTCCAATTTTCCTTATGTTTTGTTTCATTCTTTTCCAACTAATACATTCAGATAACAATGTCTTGTACAATGTGGTACTTGCCCACATCTGCCCCTCATATCCCTGCTTCTAGTTTCTTCTGAGCATGGTTGGGGCAACCCAATGGTGTGGAGGCCTCAGAATAGTCTCTTGAAATGCCTTGAAGTTTTTTCTGCAGAGCTGTGTCAAAAGGAACCAGCTGTGCCTTTCAGGCTTTGATTTGTGTCTTAACCACATGTGACACTTCTGTAGTAGTTACATTTGCTCCTTGGTCTCACAAGGCAGTGCTGGGGGAGAATGTGCTTTAGCAGCTTTTCTTGGGAAGGTTGTGCATTCAGCCTCTCCAATCCTCTCTGGTTTTCAAACTCCAAAGCCATTGCAAGACCTGCCTTCATTGAATCTGAAGTGTCTTGTCTCAAAAGGCAGTGGGGATGGGGTGGTGGTGCAAGAGCGTTGCCTGGCCTGGATGTACATGGGGAGTGATTTTTATGGACGGGTTGCTGTAGGTGACTGTACTGTGTATTACCGGTGCCTCAGGCAACTCATCCTGTTTCCTGGGGCCTTCAGTGAGATTTAACTGCAAAGGGATGCTCATGCTTTTGCGGTCCGTGCATTAAAAACAGGCAGAGCTGGATTTCTGTTAGTCGTCCTGGGTGAAAATCCAGAAAAGCTGTGCTAAACAAAGTGCTTTTACTTTGAATTTATACCCAGGAGCTGAGTAGGATTGGACCCACTTGTGTAAAGCTGGTGTTATCCTGCGGTTTGCAGGGTTTATCATAGATAAGTGACATCTTCAAAAATATAGGGCATAGGAGAACTGGGGAGAGGCACACAAATTGCTGGGAGAGTACAGATGCTGCCTTTAGTTGTAACTGCAATTTAAGGTAGAATTACTCTGTTGAAATTTGACCAGGACACGGAGATTTTATTTAATATGTTTAGGGCTGGATCCAGGATCCACTGAGCTCAGCAGAAGTCATCCTGCTGTCTTCAATGTGATTAGGCTCTGAAACTGGAAAACTAACTTTGTGAAACCTCGCTGCAGTTGTGAGCAATAAGAAAGGTGTCATTTCTGGCAGGGCAGGGCTTGTGCTGTGGCACATGGCTTCCTAGAGACTCTCGAGATGGGTCCTGTCTGAGAATACAGGGAACATACTAAAAATGTCACTCTCCTCAGGTTTTAGCTGGGAGCAGGCTGCGCTGCCTCCCTCTGTTCGTGACAGGGAAAAGGTATATAAACCTTAATTGCTGCAACTTGCAGCTGGCTCTTCCCTCTTTGTATGGGAAGGTACGTGGAGGATTTAAGTTGTGATAAAAAGGATGTTGTCCCTGTTTTCCCCACTGCACAGCATCGGTTTGGGCTGACATGGGCTCGCATATGCCGACTCCAATCTGCCTGGCAGGTTTCTTTTCACACCCTGCTGGAAGCAGCTTGGCTTTTATCTTCCTCCTAAAGGTCTCTGAGTGGGGAAATAAACACAAATGCAATCGGAGATGGGGAAAGTGAATCCAGTAGAGAGGAATGCTCAGAGCATCTGTTCTAAAGCCATTACGTTGGGCACTGACTGCATAGTCACGTACTAAGGTCCCTTACAATTTGAACAGGTCTCTTCCCGGTATTCTGCTGACAGAAACCGACTGCTGCAGCCGTTGTGATATTGATTAATCCTTTGGCATTTTTCTGCAAAGCTTTATACTCCTCACCCAGCAGCTTTTCAGCAGGGAAACCCAAATGAAAGGTGTGGCAGGTCCCATGGCTGTGGGAGGAGGAAGAGGGAGGGAGACACGGCTTTTGTGGTAGAATAGATCCTTGATGTGTAGGAAAATGTTAATGAACTTAACCCTTTGAGTCACATCTTTCATTTGGACGCGTGTTTTAGTCAAACTGTGAAGTACTTGTTAACATAACAAAACAAAAAAATCCAAGTATTTACTAAAAGTTTCCCCAGATGCTTTCACAGCCGAAGCAGATGCAAGGGAAACTAGCCTGTTCTTGAGTCCTGTGAGGAGGAAACAATACTGAAATGTTAAAATGATGCAAAACAAAAATTGAGAGATGCCCTAGAGCTCTTCCTGAGGCCGGTCCTGTAGAATCCAAGGGGATGAACTGTGTGACATTAGTCACATTTAGTTATGCTAAAAAAGCAAGGAACAGATGCTCAACATTCTTAACTTCCACTGAGGAACCTCTGTTCTTTCTGCAGAAGTTCCCATCCCTTCTGAGCCTGGGAGCTTGCACGGCAGCTCACAGGTTGTCAGAGTGCATAGCTGCCTTTCTGGGAGAGAAGAGCATTGGTAACTAGGAGGATTACATTTATCTGTGAAATCTGAGGTCAGAGCACCAAGGATATCAGAGGGAAGTTATAGTCCCCAGTGGTCTCCCACGTACTGCTTAACTCCCCTTTCCTCCTGCCTCAGTTATGGAAGGGTATGATTTGGGAGTGTCCATGGCTCACCGGGAAGTTGGTCAGTGGGTCCTGAAGGCTCTGACTCTTCTTAAGCACTAACAATAGAGCTGAAGTTTTGTCTTGTTCAGTGTCTAAGCTGAACGTCATGCTCTGTGTCCCTCTATTTTACCACTGCAGAAAGGTGTTAGCGTGCGGAAATTCCCATGCTCCTGGAGTCAGTGACAGCAGATGGAAAACAGCAAAGCTCATTCTGGGCAAAAGGGTCTGTTTTTCTGGATGGGGATCTCCATAAACAAACTTGCCTATGCTTTCCAAGCAGACTCACCAATTTGTGGTAGCACCTTGAGAAACAGGAAAAGTCGACTGTAGTTTCTGATTGGGCTGTTGAGTTAACAAGGGCGCATCTTATTCCGTCTCTGGCCTTGAATAACCATAGTTGTAGAGAGGGCAGCTCGCAATGTTTGATGAATTCTTGTTGGCATGTTGTATTTCAAATGCAAAACATTTTGAGATTAAAATAAATGTTACTGGTTACATGATGCATTAAGCTAATGATTTTCTTGTTTTTTTAAAACTTACTTGATCCTATAATACCACAACTTTAATGGATAAATGCTAAACTCTCCTGTGGGTGATTTCAAATGCCTTGTGTGTTGTTACACAGTCTAAAGGAATTTTTTTTTTCTTTTCCCCTCCTCTTTCTCTTCCCTTTCTCTTCCTCCCTCCCTTCCACCTCCCTAGGTGATTCTCATTCTGACAAAGCTCTATGACTTCAACTTGGGGAGTGTTACGGAGAGCTCGCTGTGGAGGTAAGTGGATGGTAGAAATAGCAGAAACTGGCATGGAGGGGTTGCACTGTGTCTCTTGTAAAACTGGAGACTGAGCAAGGAGGATATCTGAGCTGGTTGGGGAGGAGGTGGAATGGAATCTGAGATAGCTGGAGTTGCTTTTGGTAAAAGGGACATATGATTAAGAAAACACTGCTTTAATGAAGTGGGGTCTGCAAACAAGAGGGTTTCTTGATGTAAGAGTACTTCCCTGGCACATAGAAGGGCTTGGTTTCATTCTTGCCTTTGAGTGTCCTTAGGCGAGTCTCTTTGTTCTTCAGAGTCTCTTCTGTGAGGCTGGCAATGAAAACAGTCTCTATAGATGGTACATGCTTGCTAGAACAGTGTCCAAGATGTTATACAACACAGTGCATGATACAGTCTTAGCTGATCTTAGCCACATTCCTCAGCCCTGTGAGCTGAGATGGTCGTCTTGACAGTGAATCTGTGTTTCCTTGGGCTGTAAGAACAGTAGCCACTAAAGAACTTGAGATATCACAGTGAGGTTCTGGTGTCTTCGCTGCTATGGATAGACAGACTCACATGGTCTCATGTACCTACCACACTCCTAATCTGGTGTGGCAGATGGAAGTGTCCTGGGCTGGGGAAGCATGCTGCTGTACAGAGTTTGTGTTTGTGAGTATGTGTGTGTTTAAAACAAATAAATATAAATCCCCTCAACCCTAAAAAAACCTTCCAAACTCACCCCTATAAACAGGAAAGTTCCTTGACATCTGAAATCACCAATAGTTTCTATCTGCTGGGGATTGCTCTTCCTCCTAACGTCCTGCCTGTGATGTGGAAAGGGCATGCCTTTAACAGAATTGTTAAGTGTTTTTTACCCTAGGAAAAAAAAAAAAGGCAGCCAAGGTTTGAGTGAGACCAAGTGTCTCGTGTCAGATTTACCTGGTGTATTACAGCTATTGCACAACCTGCTGAAAGCCTGGTTGGTGGAACTGTCAATGTATTGTAACCATTGCTCGAGGTGTGAGCAGCTTCTTGGTAGATAGTCTCTCATACTTCTTTCTTCTGAGCTAATTGAAAAGCCCCTGTTTGGAGCAGACTTTGAGCACCTGCTGCAGGTTTATTCCTGTTAATGTGTTTAAGGGTTAATTGTTCAGTAGAGCTCTTGAAACTTCTCAATTTGCACAGTACTTCCAAAGCCTAATTGCACTGTACCGTACTAATCTGCAAAAGTATAAATAACAGTGCACTAATAAGAGAGAACACAGTCATTTCCACTTACCCTGGTACTTTTCAAGGTATTAAAGCTTTAAAAAACTTTTGCCTCTTTACCTAACAAGTACAAATGGCACTGTGATTGTACTTTAAACATAATTGCTGAGCAATCTGCTCTACATACATAATGTAACAAGCAGGCAAATCCTGTCCTAATACTGAACTCACAGCGTCACCTGAGCTCTGCAGAAAGGAAATAGCACCATCCTTTTTGGAGTTTTCCCAGAGTGATGTAAATGTAGTTAGTCATCAGTACAGCTGAAGGCATCCACTACTTGGTCAGCTGGGGAAACACACTGATTTGTAAGTGTGTTTCAGGGTGTTCTGGGACACCTCTGCATCTTTTCTGCAGTGAAATAGGGGCCAGTGCGGAGTCTAGAGACTCAGAGATGTTGAGAAGTCAAAACCTCCTTGGTTCTCTTCCAAGGTCTGCAAGGGTAAGAGCTAGTAGGTAGAGCTTCTGGGCTCTAAACCTTAGTTTCCCACCTAGAAAATTCACGATTAAGCCATGTTATACTTCAGAGGGGAGTGTGGAGTCTTACAGAGCAGCTATGAGTTTCTTCCGAAAGGACCTTGTAGAAATGCAAATAGATACTAAGTGGCAGCAGTAAACCAAGAGAGAAACTCCTTTTCTCAGGATTTTCTGTTCTATTTGCACATCAAGGCCTCTGAATCTTTGCATTATTTAAATTGGTACTTTTCAATATTTTCTTTTAATTTTTGAGACCCTGAAAATTTCAAAAGGAGGTTCTGTCTTTGCAGAGTGAATTTAATTAAGCCTTCTGGCAATAGGTTTGCCTGCCTTAGTTACCTTTTGTAGGCTCCTTCAAAGCCATTTTTGAGCCCCTGGAACTGATGGGTCACAAACTGAATGCAACTGTCAAGTAATCATCAGAAGGAGGTTTGGACGTTTTCAGGAAGTTTTTTTTTTTTAACTCCTCTCGTTTTCCTGGGATATGAGACATCTTTTCTGCTAACTAGGAGTCCTGCTCATCTGAGCAGCAGTGCTGCGTGATCTCTCTTCTGAACGCTTGGCAAACGCAGTTACTTCCACAAGACAGGAGTGGCTTCTGTGGCAGAGAGCAATGAATCACCCAGCAGTGCTTCAAAGGATGCTGAGATAGAGCAGAGTGCAATGCAATCTCCAAATATCACCTTCCTTTTGCCTGCTTCATGCATCAAAAGCTTCTTCTCAGTTTCCCCCTGGATTATGGCATGAGAGGCTTCTTTTAATGGAAAACTGAATTGCCATATAAGAGAAATTTCTAATCCTTGCATCTAAATACAAAGACAAGTAAATCAATAAGAAAACATCCTGAATGTAATTAAAAAAAGAGTGAGAAAAGAGGGAGAGAGAGAAGAATTAAAAGTTACGTTGGAAACTGCTCCTATATCAGGCTGATAAGAGTTTAGACAGAGGAAATGCTAGCCAACATTTGAATGCAGGAACACAGACATTGCTCTAATAAGCAAATCCATGCTTCTGGGGCAAAAAAAAACCACAGACAAGGCTACCATTGCTACTGAAGCAGTCTGCCCTGAAGGAAAAAGACCTTTACCCCTAAAGTCTATTCAAGGGCTTATTTCTTCAAATGTGTGTGTTCATAACACTTCCAGAACTGACCATAGGAATTGTGATTGTGATAAATGAGTTTTGGTTTCAGGTGTATGTTGTGTTCAGTTATATTATACGGAGAGTTCTGTAGGTTGTATGGTAGGTAGCAAGTACTTTCATTAGTTAGTCTTGTTGCAGCCCAGTTGTTTCGTTCTGGTGTTTGTGAATAAACGAGGAATCTATCGAGCTCCTTTTCTTATTCTGTGGGCCTTTTAGATTTCACAGGTTTTACAAGCAAAGGAAGAGCCTTGTGAATGTTTCCTTGCTTGTTGCTAATCCTGTCTCCTGTTTAAGCTGTACATTTTTGAGATAGGGTTATGTGAATGTGACATTCTGGATAAGCATTTAAAGTTGCTATTGTAACATTTAAAATGTTTTCAACTGTTTCAGCCAGTGTGGGTTGAGCAGTTACTTCCGCTAAGATAACTGGAATAAAAGGTTTTCCAACGTTGCCTTTTTTAGTATCCAGGAACAGTAATATTTATTTGGATTGCAGTAGCTAAAAAGCCTCCATCCCAAGGGAGCTTTCAATCTCAGATGAAGACAAAGAGACAGCAGGGCGATACAGCAGACAGGAGGAGCCAAAGGTAGCAGGGCGATATTTATGATCAATGCGATAGCCATGACTGCAACACATCAGCTAATTAGGCAGTGGGGAGTAGTTCAGAATTTTTTCCAAAGTGCAAGCACTTGCATGTGTCAGCTCTGAGTCCCTGCTACCATTTTACCCACCTTTGATGTGTCCCCTGGAGTTCCCCTCCTCTGCCTGTGGTCCCAGCTAAATCATCTGATGGTACATAATGACACGTAATGCTGGCCTGTGCATTAACCCGTGCTCAAAATCATGACTGACTCTTTCTGGTTAGGAGGCTAAAATATTGATGAAGGATTTTTTACATATATTCCTTCCTGTTTTCTTGTTTGTTAACCAACAAATTGTGTTTCCATAGCTGCAGTCAAAAATCCCCAAGCATTTTTTTTTACTTTTGTGGCTGCTGTGCCTGAAGAGGTTGGTCTGTTGTCTAACCTCTATGCTGAGCTAAAAAAAAAACTTTTAGCTTTCTAACAGATAGGTGCAAAACACAGCAGCTACAACTTCTAGCTTGGAGCTGAGAGGAGTAGAACCTCTCAGCCTGGTTGCAAGCTGCTTTATGTCTTGCTTGCTCTCTTTCACTCAATTCTATTTGAATTACCAAAGGGCTTTACGCTGTTTCCTCCCATGTCCTTGCCTCTTAAGCCTCCCACCGCCTCCAGAGACCATCAGCATCTTTCAGTCTACCTCCTGTATTTGTTTCCTTTGCAAAGTTTCACAGCTCATGCTGATTTCTGTGCCCTAGGTTTGTGTGTTGCACATGGAGCTGGCTTCAGATAGGGCTGCTCTCTAGGTGTGAAACGGTGAATACGATGTGAAATGCCATGTCTCCCCTTTGGGAACTGGGGCTTAGTCTCCTTGCTTCAAGTGTAGCTGCCTCCAAGATAGAGGAGTAAGAAGGCAGAGATCAGGAGATTCAATAAGCCTGACTCAAATTTCTGTATCATCCTCTGTGAAACAAGCTAAACCTGAAATAGGTCATGGTGCAGCCAGAGCTTCCTTGAAGGAGTGTTTCTGTCCTGGTGGCAATGTGTTATTTAGACTGTGGTGCTGAGAATGGCAACTCCTGGTTTGTGCCACAACCTCTTGCTCAGTACTGGTCAGGCTGCACGCATTTTGCAATGAGGCATTGTAGTTTTTATGGAACTTGCTGTATTGAAATGCAGTCTCCAGACCACTACCGTAACCAGCTGACATCTCTTTGCAGTATTGTCAAATTTGATTATATTTATTGTTTTTCACTTTTATGCTGACAACGTGCATCTTAGATACATGTTATTTTCTGGAGGAGTGTATTCAGGCATAAAATTAATGGAGTTGGTTTTCAAAGTAATAATGCTTCCCATTATTACATCTTATTTGGCATTTTTTAACACTGCAAAGTGCAGAAATCCTGTGCTGATGAAGAAAAGGACTTCTCATATCTGCAATCAGGGCATGGAGAGAAGGAGCCAGCTGTGTGTGCAAGCACATCGCTGACCTTTCTTGGTTTTGAAAACCAGTGTGCCCAGAAGTTTGGCAACTCCACTGTTGTAG